TAATCTTGGGGGTGTGACTATTCCTTCAAGAGTGATTTGTAGAGAGGATTGTTTGGGTTTATCTTGTAAAGGGGTGAGATTTGAGAGAAACACCCTTATTCTTGTAAAAGGATTGAGTGGCTCCTTTAAACCACCCTTGTTGTTGTTAGTGGAGAGTGTGGAGAAAATCCTTAGTGAGTGAAGCCAAGGTAGAGGACTAGGCTCCGAGTGGTTGGACCGAACCTCTATAAATCATTGAGCAAGCTCTTCTTCTCTACTCTCTTTAATTTTGGTTTTGTGGTTGCAAAAAGGGGAGAATTTTTGGAACTCCAATTCACCCCCTTCTTGGAGTACATTGAGTCAACAGAAATAATAGGGAAATAGTACCCAACCTCTTATATTTTAAATAGAAAAGTTTATATTAAGAACTTACTTGTAATGCTTTAAGATGCTTAATTGCATTCAAGAAATAATTGTAGATAAAGTAGTTTATCAACAACAATGCGAATATTATACAAATAAAATAGTGAATATTTTAGAAAAAATAAGTAATGTTGAAGATATAGATGATTATTATCTCTCCATGAATCTCAAAAAGTTAAAGCGAACAGTTGTAGATTTAAACGAAAATTTAAAAAGACTTAAAAAAGCTAAACAAAGACTATCTCTACTAGTAATTTAATACATCTACTTAACATATCAGCTACACATTAGTTTGTAGTTTGAATTAGGTTCCGAAAACCAATAAAATTTTTGGTATTAGAGCCATAAAAGAATTAAAACACAATGATGTTAAGAATGGACTTAAAAGGAGAAGTAAAGTTTTGCGAATAGCAAATAGATATAATCTCAAAGATTAGAAAATTAAAAGAGATGATCTCTTATAGAATTGATGAATTATCATGGGAAAGATATATTGAAGAGCAATAGCTCTAAAAGAATTAAAAATTTTAGCAAAATAAAATAAAAATTAGTTTTGAAACAAAATTAAATTTAGGGATTAAAGTATTAATTTAATAAAAGATGAAAGTTGAACTTAACAGTCTAGACTGTGAAATATTTGGTCAAAGGGGAAAAACCCTTAAACCTGATAAGTTAAAGGGTGAATAACCCTGATTTATAAATTAAAGGGTAAAATCCCTTAAACTCGAAAAGTTGAAGGGCAAAGCATAGGTATATGCCTTGAAAAACTACAGGAAACATCCAAGGCCCATTGAAATGTATATTGTTGACCGATATTTCTAAGTGGAATTTTTTTAAATTGTACCTGTAGGTAATGGTTTAAGAGTGTAATTAATATTTTTTAATTATTAATTTATATTAAAAAATAAAAA